GCAATACGGAACACAGTTAACGTGAACATGTAAACCGTTTTTTAACATGGTCTTTTATAATAACAAATTATATAAGTTGTAGACCGGCGTAAACATCACAAACCTTTGACGACTTTATTGGATTCATACAATTCTGAAAAACAAACAAATCAGTCGTGAAATAAAGAATTAGACCTAGTTATCAGTATCACATTCAATAAGTACATCAAATAGCAGGTTACAGAATGTACCTATAAGTCTCTTATTTGCAGACAGCGCTAATCATTAGAGATTTCTATTTCCTTTAATAAAAATTAATAGGTAATCTTTACAACACACAAATCAATGTTATTTAAAAATTGCTGAAATTAGTTTCGTCACAACATAGAAGCGTGGTCTGAATTATGAAGAAAATGTAATTCATTAATGTGGCATAAAGGAGATATGAATACAAGGAATTTGTGATTTTGCTTCCATTGCTCATTCACTTTACGTCACGTTGTCTGCATGAATTACTTCGGACGAGTCAGTCTGTAATGCAATAAGAATTCATGAATTAACTCATGAATAGTTGTTTTTTATTCAAGTCTGTGTCGTAACAAGCACTGGAAATTTATTCAATGTCTAACCCTTGTAGTATTTCGTATATACATCTGGTATTAGCAAGAGAAATTGGTAAGTACCATTTAGATATTACTCGACAATATGCATCATAACTTTGTTCACATTTTCGTCTGCGATTGTGCATTTCGTTTACAGAAAATTATTCGTCAACACATCATAAATCAATATTAAGTACGACATGGTTTTGTCACCATGCTCAGAAGAGACACCCATTGTTTTACTTATGAAGATTTTGTGCCTATTTAATGTGGTGTTATACACTGTTCCTGTATACGTTCAGAAAGCCGGTAAAAAAGACTATCAACATCAATTCTTACATAATTTTTCTCTGATACGTTACACAATAATATGTCACTTCAGTACAAAACAATGCTACCTATAGTCCAAATAACCTTGTATGGCTAAATACAAACAATTTATATAATATTCATAGTTAGTTTAACGCTTACTTCTTTCTGATTACATTTTATAAACGACTACGAACATCTATGTTTGCCGTCACCATAATCAAGGAGGTGAACCATATATAATGTTTTTCACGGCTTATTTTCATGAAAACTCATTCTGTAATCTATTTCTGACTAGAAAAATGGTGATTTGACTTGTTTGACTTTGTATTGTTAAAAAATAACCATATTACGCCAACTACATATTTACTTAGGAGGTGAGCACGAAATACGTCAAACTGCTTATAAATTGAAATAAATACTATCTTCCAATCACAAAGATTACGAGAAGTCACGTATGATGGAAAAAAGGCTGTTAATAGCTGATAAATAACGACACATAAAATCCACGACAATATGTTACATGTGCGCGAAAACCCGTAAACTAACACGCATAGTGTGCCATCGTATGTTAGCAGCGCGTGTTGAACTTGGCTCCGTGACCTTGAAATTGCTCAAACGCTTCTGATTGGCTCGTCCCTAAATAAGAGTCTCGCCCAATAATTTTAACAATTGCAAAACAAACCTTCAATTTAGTAGGTTCCCGGAGCAAACACTCACAAATAACAAACCAAAAACAAAAGAAACCAAAATGTCCGAAAATAATGATATAAACAAACAAGTTCAGGAGTTGAGTAAAACAATTACACCTGAAAAACACAGTAAGACTACTAATACGCAACAAAACGGTTTGAATCAGCCAAAAGTCTTCAGTTCTTTCGTAACAGATGTCAACTCTAAACTAATCAAATTAAGCTGTTACAGAGCCACTAATCATTCGAAATGGTAGCTATTTTCGAAATGTGTTTGTGATGAAAAAGAAATGGCTTAATTCAGGCAAATGATTACCTCATTCATAAGGATGGATTCACTTTATTCAGACGAGTATATTGCATTGCTTTGAAAGTGACCTATATTAATCGCAATTAAATATCGTTGTGAGACGGGACTCTAAAAATACACAAATAATGCGGCGGACCCAAGACCTACGGTCTGATGAATAGCGTATAAATTCTAGACCATATAGCCGGCATCCTAAAGCGTATATGTTTAATTTCAATCAATTTAGGAAATTGTAAGACCAGCTTCCATTTCTCGTGATGGATGACTGTCTCTTAATCGACATGATTAAGCTCTACAGACTAAAGATTCTATCTAGAACTCCATGAATTGTGTCCCGAAGTTAGTCAATAGCGAGTTTATTATTGATTGTCCAACTAAGTTCATTTCATGTATAAGTTGTGAAATTCTGCACTTTAGTTTACACATGTATTCTAATTGAAGTAGTATAATAATCATAACTGTTTGAATCTATTTTGTGACTAATAATAACCGAAATAGTGCAACCTAAAGCAGGTAGAATTAGATGAGCACAACTGAAACTATATATATATATATATATATATATATATATATATATATATATATATATATATATATATATATATATATATATATATATATATATATATATAACTAAACTGGTTGTAACGGAAAGAGAACGATGAAAATCCCTCTGCAGCTTCTTTGTTGAACAGTATTGTCATTTATTTGTTCCTTCTCCTTGTTGTGTATTTTAACCTTCGTTCCGATCTCGTCTAACCATATCTTTTGTTCTTCAGTCTTCCTCGTTCGAGCCTTTATTGTGTGATTTTGATTAAAGACTTGTCTTTTGTTACCTAAGTTATCATTGCATGTTGCCGGACCATTGACAGTAAGGTCGTGTTTGACTAAGCTCGTGGTCACGGTGTGGTTCAGTGTGCGATTGTTAACCTCTCGATTGTCTGCTTGGGAGGATTGCTGGAATCCCTGCGGATAGATATTTGATCCCATCTTGCTGGGAATATTTTTATTGATTCTCAGGTATCAACCCCCTTAGTATTAACTGTCTCTTTCATTGTTTAGTGCGCTACTTTGCGTTAGAGAAACTTCTGACTGTATAGCACAGGCCGTACCGTCTGAGGTATTTTGTATTTTTGATGTAATTTGTTCTGTTTTCTAAATCAAAACCATTTATATTGAGCACAGAGTTTGTATTTTGATATAGTATAATACGAGTATCTCAAAAACACGTTGTGAGCTATACAGAGGAACGTGGTCTGGTCTGAACGAATAAATTTTGGGTTCGTTAGTCCGTTGTTCCAACCGCATATTGGTTGTTCGGTCGTTACACTGATGTTGAGTTAACAATCGAAGGTCCATGGCTGAAAGCATATAATCTGTCTTGCTCGGGGACAGCGCTCACTTGTTGTCAGCGTTACCTGGGTGACCTATTGTACGGAACAATCATAAACAAAAATGGTTACAAAAATATTGATGCAGAAACTGAACATGATCCATTAGAACTTCGACCACTTTTTCGCAAATGACCTGCCATATAGAGTACTTAAACTTAATGAACTATGTAGCTGGGTTTTATCTGAACTCAAAACAAAAATTACAGTTATTAATAATGATGACTACAATTTATTCTCAATAAACGTAAGCAACACGTGGCATGCCGATTCACAGATAAGACCAAATTATGGACATAATTCTTCATTTTTTACCGTCTCAGTAGTCAATATATTCTTATGTTTTTTATGAAAATGTCGTTGTAAACGTTTCCTTCCACCATCCGTATATGAGTCCAAAACTTGATGTACTCACTTACCAGTGCTTTTTGGAATCGGTATTTTCATTATTATGGTGTTGACTTGTTGGGTAAGAAACCAATTTTTGAGCGTCAGTCAACTTGTAGCGATAAATAAATCCCCAATATAAATAGGTCTGTAAGTCTTCGACATTGGATGCTGACCACATTAGTTTTAATGGACTCACCTAGCTGAAGGCGCTCGGTCATGCATCCGCACCAGATCACGAGTGGGAACGCCGTGCTCAACATCCCCTGCAATTGCTAGCTAGATTAAATCAGACGATCCTCGATATATTGATAACCTATCAAATATATCTTCGAACCTCCTCGCTTCTGTCTTTTGACTTAACTTGTTGGGTACGCTTCATATTAAGTGTTACAGGTTAAAGCGTTATCAAACTGCGAAAAGCTGTGGCATCTTCAAACTTTTCAGATGTCCATCGACTCTGTGCACAGTCATACGATCCTGTCTATCCAAACTATTTTCACATTATTTCAGGACTATTAATGCATATTAAAAAGAAGATTACATTTGTAAAATCTCAGCGAATGAATTTTAAGTAAATCCAACGTTTCGCCTGGCTGTAGCGTGGCGTCGAGTTTAGATTGACTATGAACACTGCTACCAAGAAACACGTGCCAAATGAATCAGAAGGCGAGGGTTGGACGTAACCAAATAGATCCATAAAATCCCCGAGAAGACAAATACCAGAAGGCAATTAATGGACCAAGTCGAGGTTTATTAGCTGGCGATCTCGTGGCATCGCAAGGATACCGAGATCGTGCCAGGATACAACCTTGGTTACAGAAGGTAACCGAATCCGCGCGAAGTTACAATCAAAGTGTAAGTATAAGAATGGAGGCACGAAATAGCTGTCATTAGCACAGTCAAACAAAAGCACGTTAAAACAAACACTGGTGCAGCTGGTTATAATAATAATTGTTTTTATTAAACCAGTCGTGTTCTCGTGATAAATGTGAGTCACTACATGGCAATCTGGTCCAAGCTTTTTCAAGGAAAATATAATCAAACAACAAAATTCGATACGTTTCAGTAAAAATCGAATCCCAGCAACGCTAAAAGTTATAACGATCAGTACAGGTCACTTGACTCGCTATTCTTACCACGTAATTCTGACATACCAATGAAGAGGGGATAATATTTTGTTCCTTCAGGTTTCGAATGCTGCTTTATTTTAATCGTAATAAACGCCATTAGCGACTAAAAAAACTGTTTAAGTCTCACTACATTTTCTGATCCATTACTTGAGGTATGAATGACAAAAGGTCTGAATTTGCTTTTAACTAATTGATTATGAAGGTCGAAAACTAAGCATAAGTTCTAAACAGTCGGAATCACGTTTTTGTCTTTTGCAAAGGTATTATTGACTCAAACCTGTAGTGGTTTGTGATTATGCCCATTAAAAGGGGTCATATTGCACCACACAACACCTACATTGTAACTCTTATTAGGAATTTTGACTCTCAGTGTAAGTTTAATCAACGTTTTCCTAAGTTGTTAGATGAAAACTTTATCGTGGCAAATGCCACACTTCCTTCCAGACCAATTATATACTGTAGTGATGGGTTTTGCGAGCTTCTTCGATATACGAAGGGCCAGCTTATGCTCAAGTCTTCAGCTTTATCAATTTTCTATGGACCGGAGACTACTGTTGATTCGATGGAGACTTTGTTGGCAGCCCTTAATCAGACTAACGAGACGGAAGTGCTTATGAACCTTTATTCCAGAGATAGTAATTTCTTTTTGTTTTGTTACCAGTTTCAGATTGCGTTATATGCTTCCGCATTGTTGTAACTCCTGTCCGAGACGAGACTGGTGGGTTGCCACTCTACCTACTTTTTTTCAGAGAAGAGATCAGTAACACACAAACCCTCGTGCAAATGAACAAAGGTATACGCTGAGTTAATTCCATCATTAACTGTAGGACCAGGTCTGCGCACAAAGTGGCAGCTAAAATCTTTTCGAGTAAACAAAAGCCCTAACCATATTCCGAAAAATCCTATTCGAACTAACATACCAAGTACTCACCTACTATTCTCAAAGTTCTATATTTAGAATCTACCAAACCTTCTGTCTTAGACGTGAGAAAGCATTTCAGAGATAAGAAGTGTGATACATCTGATTCGAAGCTGGGCACGGTAGGTGAAGGTAAGTCATTTCCAGCTAATTGTTAGCTAAGATTTGGAGCGTTTCCATCATACGTTGCTAAAGTTCAGTTGAAAACATTTTAGCTTTCTGACCGAGTAATAATCAGTGTTTCTACTGTCTATTCAGTACTGTCCATAAATTGATTTATTATTTTTTACACTATTATTATTATTATCTAAATTTCAATTCATTCCTAATAAATAAGTGTCTTGTGACTGAAAATGATTTAAAGTTTCATTACTTTGTTCTTCTCTTCTAAGGTGCAGTACCAAACTGACGGCTTTGTATACTAGTTTCATTGTTAATGAGTGATACTTTCACGGTCTATATTCGGTACTAACTTGCATCGTGCACAGATCTTCAGTAACATTTTGCTCTATCTGTTCGAGGCAGACTTTAGGTACTGAGTGTACCTTGTAGTTAAGATACTCTTTTTCTTTGTAAAACTGCCTTCATTCATAGTAGTACTTTGCAATGCATAGTATGTTTATAAGCGTAGTGGTAGTTAGTTTTGTTCTTCGCCAAACAACTTTGGTCAGCCATCTCCAAATGACGTTCTGGAATACCAAAATCAGAAAAGTCAGCTTACATATATCCTGATCTGCCTCAAAAGTGTTTGTTTCATCATAAGAACATACCTTAGTATTTAAACCTTGTATCAAATATGCTTCAGACAGTAATCAATACAAATAATGCTCTAGCATTTTTACAAATTCGAAATCAAGAATGGGATAAGTTTCGGAAGAAAATAAAGTCTTCATTTTGCCCTTAGTTTGATATGAATTATCAATCATCCCTGAATATTTTTGAAGTGTTATTCTGTGTAAAAGTTCACTTGGCGATAACCTCTCACTGAATTTCTGCAATCGCAGTGAAATATTGAAGGCTTTGATGTATTTCCCATATCAGTTATAGTTACATGAATTGCTATTTATATCGGCACTAACATTCTTTTCATCATAAGGATTATATTATATACCGTTAAGAATTAAAATTAAAAGTTGTAAACAGATTATTAGGAAATTGTTTCAAACTATTATTTTTTATAGAAAGTAAAATACATCTGGGACACTACTGTCGTTTTCGTAAAATATAAAAAACTTTAAAAGTGGCACTTGTGGGTCATTGAAAGTTAGTCCATCGCAAGTAATCTCTCTTGCGTTAACATGTTATCGAATTATGACTTCTGAGTTTCTCAGTCGTCCCAAAGATCGGTGAGAGTATGTAGTGTGAATATGGGACAGCATATGGAAAATTATTTCGTGTCATAAAACTTAGTGCTGTAGGGAAGTCTCAATTAGTGGGAACTATTTTTTCCTTTACGTCAGGTGTAAACACTTCCAGTTATAATCCACGCTTTTTTCAAGGAACATAAGGCAAATGCTATTCAACATGGTAAAATATATCGTCAGTTCAGAAACCTAGCCTCATATTTTAAATGATAAAGCTGGACAAAAATCATTTACGAATATTCGTCCAGATTAGAACGAATAGTTTGACAGCAATTAAGCGCCGAGTATAGAGAAGTCATTATATGTGAAAATTATATTTGAAATATAAAAATCATTTTCATTGTATTTCCTATGATCAAACGACAACAAAATAAAAGCTACTAGTATACACCACACAGATTATACGTACATCAGTCCAGACGGTCTCATACACATCACTTAAGCATACGTGTATATATTTACGGGAAAGTGATATACTATAAGAAAAACGAAGTTTCAAGAATGTGAATCTTATAAGTGCAGGTTGCCTAAGGACTTATCACACTTTAAAGAGCACATCTTAAAAGCCCAAAACTTGTTTAACTGTATATGTTTTGTAAAAGGTTTCTATAGAGTCCGTCATCTCGACTTAACATTAATTTTTACAAAGGTACTACTATAACAGAGTCATTGGCTCGTCCACAAAGCTTATCTTCAAGCGATCAGATCCAATTTATTGAAAATTATCCAAATGAGTCTGTATCTGGTCAGTCTAAAGAATGTCGTCCAACTTCCTTATTCTTACCTAAAAGTCAAGATGATTCACTTAAAAGAGAATCTCTATCAAAAATCGATGTTTCAGAAAGCCAGCACGGGACTCCTAAATGCTCTGACAAATCTAAGCGTAGACCATCTACATGGTATAGAGGTTACACTGAAGATGAGAGTTCAGAAATAATTCATGGTTCTTCCAGAAAAAGCCGGCACTTACATCCAACCACTGAAGAGTCTGAGGCCCTGCAATTGGTGCTGAGTAGTCATGCAGAGCCACCAAAATCATCCGTTACTGAGAAATTTGCTCAAGTAAGTGAATTCTGATGATTAAAAATGATCTTTTCAGTTAATGCGTTTTGAATCATTTGTTGTTGCGAGTATTTTTCTTAGGTGTACATAAACTATAGATTATTCACACTTCCATATACTTGTTCATTGTTATAATGACACAGGAATTGTGGATTTGTGTCACAATATCAAGCTGTATTCCACTGAACGACTTTCAAACAGTCACGGAATGTCATTTCCCTTTGAACCCCAAATGGAACTCATAAGTTAAAATAGCACATAGGGCCTGGCACAATATACATTGATCCATGTTCCTAGTGTAACATCAAAAGAGTTTAAATAACGATACTAATGATGATTAAAAGATGGACATCGGGAATATAATCTAAAAAACAAATGAAATCAAATGGCTAAAAGTATGGAGTAGCATTATAGCTCAATATTTTGAAGTATATAGAGTGATAGTTACATCTGTTCTGCAGCGATCGACCAAGATTTATACCATTTAAAGTCTCAAATTATAAATTATAATTTTTCTACAGACATTCCATTCCCAAAACCTAAGTTTCTTGACATTATTTATTTATTTTAACACATAGATATTGGTACAAGCAGGCACCAAATACATATGCGCCACATAAATCATTCGATTTGTGTGAGGGCTGTGATACTGCCCGGATGTCCAGACCGAAGCAGGTGGTTTTCTTAGGGGGCCACACCCGGGGCCTTGGACCTAAAGGTCTGACCCACAAGGCAGTGGAGCATCGTGAGGAGATACAGTCCCATGGTAGCTGGTGACCAACGATTGGTTCATATGCCATTTGTTCCTTCAGGATACTGGAGCCCATGTGCACCATTGGTTTGGAATCCGGTTCAAGCGCTGGACATTCGCTTTTCGTCCTCTCAATTTCGCAAAAAACACCCCCGCCACGAGAATGCAGTGAGTAGGACTTCCCTGACAGAGGCTGTATACGCGTGGCCGCGTGAGAGCATTTCGAGAGGGAGGGCGGTCCCACCCCACTCTCGGCTATACCAGGGCATTTGGGGGCTCAAAACGTGAGACATTGACAACTGCACACACTGATATTACTTCTTTACTAAAAAGCCCTTAACGTTTTTTCAATATACTCTTATTCTACCTACAATTTCAGGAGTAGATGATGACTAGTCAGCCAGTCTTAATACATATTTCAGCTTTGTCGGCTCATGAAATTTCATAATCTCACCAATCGATTTATCATATTATTGAATTACATTAAGTCTAACTTAACTATCACTTAGTTAATAATTTCGTAATATTCAAGTAAGTAGGAACTGGAGGAATGTATTTGTAAAATCTCAGCGAAATTATTTGAAGTAAATCCAACATTTCGTCTGGCAATCTGGTTCAAGCTTTTTTAAAGAAATATCCTTGAAATTTCTTTATACAAATAAGATTTCTAAGAAATCTATGGTAAAATCTTAGTTATCTACACATGTTCTACTCTTTTAAATGGTTATGCTTCAAAACCATAAAAGAACTTAATTTATAATACTAAATAGTTCATAATGTAAGTAAACCAAATTATTATTATTACTAGTGACTATGTTGTCATTGTATTCACTAATTTCTACTGTCTATATACATACATTTTATGGTATTTATCAAAGGAAATAATAAAACGTTACAGTATGTTATAATATAATTTTTCTACATATAAAAAAAGGAATTTATAATAGATTTATTCGAAATAGTTTTAATTTATAACTTTATTCTTTAAATTAAGGGAAATAAGTATCTCTTATGAAATCCGGTTATTCATATATTTAGTCATTTCTGATATATGTCGAGCAGGTTGAGACCTGTGACCTATATATCTTAACTATTTATGATATTTTTATACTTCTAGTGATCATGAATGCTGTTAGATGTATGAGGGTGGTTATCACTACCCGGTTGACCACACTGTGAAAGGGTTCTTCTGGAGGTACCTAAAAATGAAATTGGGTTAGAGGTGGTCTTAGTGACCTGAGAGTGTGACCGCAGTGTCAAAGGGACAACTGCTCGATGTCGATCACACATGACCTTTTTGTGAGTAATTTTCGTGTTAGCTCCGTATTCGTTGAAACCTTACCGCCGGAAACGGATATCTTTGGAATAAGGCGAGGTGTGCATTTTTAGGGTTGACCTTTTCCAACCACACTCCTCCTTGTTGAAAGGCAGCATCGCTGTTATGCTGGTTGTCTGAAGGAAACACCTTACTGCCGTCACATCTCTGTACAGTTAGCGGCATGACTTCGCTCTTGGACCTTAAGTTTGCTGCTTTTAGTCTTACCGTCCTCCAACCGATCTGTCTGGCATTGTAGGACCTTGAGGAACGGTTGTTCCAGCCAGTATAGCTCGTTTGTTTCATTGAGATAGGCAAGCCCGATCACCACGCTAAGGTAGCAGCAACGGTCGGGTTTTATAATATTATTATTGGCTTTATTTAATATTATATTTTTGGTACAATATAGAATTCTCAGCACAAAATATTTCAACAAGTTTCATTTTCTTATGTCTTGATCTGTCCTTGGAGTAAACATTGAGTGGTCACCAGTTAGATGTTAGCAGTTCAGTCAGTCGACATCTGAATAATGTTCATTCTTTTCAATGCATATTGCCAGCAACCACGATCTCTCTGTAAATTGTACAGCGAAATGTCATCAACTTGTCACAAACGTTCCTGAATATTTTTTGCGACTAATAAGCATAATAATGTATTAAAACAAACAAGAAGACAGATAACTTGTTGAAATATCTAGATGGCAGGAATAGGTAGCCCAGATATTCAAGCAGACCGCCTGCATAGTTAGATTACAATTTAAATTAAATCATGTAGTTAACTTTAACTTCCTATAATTGAATTATAAGATTTTTTATTAAACTATTTACATACTCTTACATATTTTACATTCAATGGTTAAAACACTCCAGTTTCAGTTAAATCGGTTATCAGTTCAAACACTATACTTTTTACTTTCAGTTGAATAGTATCACTGATCTACATTCAATATGTTATTTAAAATTGAGTATACATACACATCGATACTTGGTAAATAATTTCCAAGTGAATTAACTCACCATTTATATCCTTGTGTTGGAGATGGTTGGAAGAAAGTTGGGAGCGGCCAAACCAGAACGTGGCATCAGTGCTTGAAGTCACCAACTTCTAGTCTGAGCCATGTTGGTAGATGCAAACTACTTGGTTGGGGTCCGCGTGACTATCGTAACCAATGGTTGGAGACTCTGAGTGACATGGCTCAGAATCGATCATAATGGCGTCGGCGTATACACTCTGTCTTCCCTTAAACTAAGAGATTAAAATTGCTTCATATCTTTCTTTCTACGAACTAATTCTTTCTTCCTGTACTATATCCTTATTGCAATCTTTCTTTTATATATTACCACCTCTGAATTAACTACTTCTATGAATCCGGTGTCCATCTTGTTGTGTTAATGAGGTGTGGCAACTTGGACCGATGCATATATGTGCCTGGTCCTAGGTTGTAGCTGACTGACTTGTGTTTTGTAGTTTATAAATAATCTAAATATAAATAAGTAACAATTTTTAATCTAAAAAAAGAATTCAGTGAAGAAATAAAATATGATTCCATTTATTGGGATTGTATACAAAACTTCATTAATAATCATTTTAACTGAAATAATAATTTTTTAAGCAAAGATGACTAATGGCTAGCAGTGGAATCCTGTTTGACTCGTATTTCGTCTCATTTGGGACTCGTCAGCTGGATGTACCTGCATGGCAGAGTTGATGTTCACTCCAGGACCCGAACCCAGTACTGTTCGCTTCAAATGCCATCGCGTTATCAACCTAACTACTGAGTCCTAATAGCCACTAGCTTGTACAATCGGGTGAAGTTTAAACTCACTTGGTGTTGTTTTTACTGCTAGCCACTATCCATCTTGGCTTAACAAGCTTGTGACGTAAGGCTATATCAAGGCAATCTGCACACGATACACATATGCTAACATGAGACTGATTAACTGCAGTCCTAAATAACAATGGGAAGATACAAGTAAAACAATACCAAGTGAATTGAAATAATAATTTGTTTGAAAAAAATAAAGGAAAAAAATACATGAAGTTTATACCTTAATTTGTTTTCTAAGATTTCGAACAAAACTATGGAAAATAATAAACAAACAAACAACAACAAAAAATGGTAAATCTATGAAAAGAGTGAAAGGTCATTCAGTCAGAAACAACGTAGAACTTCGTACATCAGTTCAAGTTGCCATATCACATTAGCACACAGATACAATTGTCGATTCAAATCCCATAGTGGTAGAGGTAGTAAAAGTATAAGCAGTAATCGAAAAGATTAGGGTTTGAAGATGTTATTCAAGGAGTATAATCCAATGAAATAAATTTGGAAAGAGAATAAATAGGGGCATGAAGAATTCAGAAGATTAGATTTGGGAAAACACAAAGAGTGGATGCATCTGTGCCTTTGCAAACGATTTTGAGCCATGTCATTCAGGGTCTCTAACCATCGGTTGCTATCATCTTGCGGATCCCAACCAGGTAATCTACACCTACCAACATGACTCAGTCCACTTGTCAGTGACTTCATGGATTTGTGCCACGTTTTGGTCTGGCCGCCCCTAGCTTTCTTCCAACCTACTCCTACACCATAAAGGTTGTAACATGCTAATTCTTTGTTGTAAATAGATAATATATTTGTAATATCTCAATGAATAGAAAAATGAGATTTTCTGACGTTTGGATATTTATTCTCCGAAGAAGTGGCTTACACTAAGTCACAAAACATCAAAAAGTGTAATTTTTTACTCATTGGGATATTACAAATATATTATTTATTTATAACAACCTCCCCACTGCTCAATTTATTCGAAATTGTCAAGTCAAACTTTGGTAATGATACCTAGAATTCTTTTTTTTTTCTAACACTAAGTTCAGAATTAAACTGCTAAAAACAGAATATCTCAGTAATGTCCAGATTTTTTATTCATATTC